TGTTACTGTTGACGAAAATCTTAGCTGGCATGAGCACATAAGTAATACTGTAAAGAAGGTAAAGAGTGGCCTTAGTGTCTTGAGACAAATTCGTGATTTTGTTCCAGTAGACGCATTAAAGAAAATATATTATGCAATTATACAACCGCATTTCGACTATTGTTCATCGGTATGGGATAACTGCAATAAAGGTTTTAAAGAGAAACTTCAGAAATTACAAAATCGTGCTGGGCGGGTTATCACACGTTCTGGATATGATATTAGATCTGCGAAAATTTTAGAAAAATTAGGCTGGCTTACGTTGGAACATAGGTGGCACTTGAATAAGGCATTATTAATGCATAAAATAGCAAATAATGATGCACCTATGTATCTAACATCACAATTTTCCAGAAGGAATCAAATGCATGACTACAATGTAAGGGGTAGTCAGGTGAATTTTTCTCTTCCAAAACCTAGCACAAACTTCATGAAAAATAGTTTAACATACAGTGGAGCGGTCACCTGGAACTCTCTAAGTGATGACATCAAATCAACCGAGGATGTCATTGCTTTCAAAACGAAGGTTTCTAATAGTATACGAGATTCTCTTAGTCTCTAATGCTTTTATTGTATATATGTAATATAATCATTCAAATTATCGTAAAATCTAGTTTACCCTTTGTTTCCCTTTCTCTCCTTTCTTCCTATATTTATACGTAGATTTATAATTTTACATAATTGTATATATGCACGGCTCTCAGGAAGAGCATTGTTTGTAATGATGAGATTTCCGTGTTAAAATAAAGTTTATACATACATACATACATACAACTGACTTTGAATCATCATGAACAACCCGCCGAGTCTACCAGATACCTGTGCAACCTATCCGATCAAAAGTCCGAACAAACCACAGGCCAACATTAATTCAAAAAGGAGGCCACAGCAGTACACCAATAAAGGAGACCACTGCTCCTATTAAAACACAAACAAAACAAAACAAAACAAAACATCATTACAAGCCACATGACATATTAACAAAATAACACAATTAAAACATCATAAACAACAGCCAAAAAGGCCGACGTTTGAAAACATTGACGGACAAAAGTACTAACGCAACTCAAAGGAAACGGCAGTAGCAACTAAAGAATGCGACCACCGCGCCTCCGAGAAACATTTAGACGCATTAATCGACAGTCAGCAAATGGACAGTCAGTAAAAAGGTGGACGAGGGACTCCGTTTGGCGACAGTGACACAACGGGACAACGTGCATTCCAAAGCGCAACAAACGATCGGCGGTAGGAAGAATAACATGCGCAATCAGCCAGGAAGTATCCCGAACATGTCTTGTAAAACGCCAGAGAAGAAGGGACAACCAAACATTTGACCAATCGACTGGAAGACCACAATTCGCATACTTTTCGACGCATCGATGTTGCTTACGATGTTGGTGAGACAGGGTGTCATAGACGAAACTTGCCGACAGCTGTTCAAGCTTGACCACAGATTTCCGAAGACCGCAAATGACGTATTCATTGTCCACAAACTTTCGTTCCAGAGCAAACCAAGCTGTCGACACAGATCGATAAAACGGAGGGAGAGCGTCTATAGCATTTTTCGGTGGTACCGCCAAAATCAAAATTTGGTGAACAGCTAGAGCGACCAGGGAATGCGCGCTTGAGATACTGGGAAAAGAAACTAGTCCACGGCAAGTTGGGGCGAAAAATAAGCCTCTTTACCCATAAAACATGCAGAAACAACATCTTACGATGGACGTCCACCACACCTAAACGCAATTGATTAGGTCGTTGTGTGACCGAGGAGCGAGCCAGCCAATCTCGTTTCTTCCGCCATACAAACGGAAAAACCTCCCCATTGACAGCTTTAATGATTGTTTCAGGTATTACAGAAAACGAACATAGATGCCAGAGAGTACTCAGCCCCAGCATATTGGCAATGAGAGCGCGTCCACGAAAGGAAAGCGCTCTCCGGTTCCAAGCTGTCAAAGTAGTCTTCAAGGCCTTGATCTTTGACTCCCATTGTTCTTCATTATCATTAGAGATACGAGAACGCAGAACAATGATTTCCATATTGGACCAATCCAGAACAATTGGTAGATTGGAACGAGATTGCCATGTACCAATCAACAACCCATGACATTTTGAAACATTTAATTTAGCCCCAGACGCCTTCTTGTATCGTGTGAACAAATGGAACAGAGCATTCACTGCCGAGTCCGTATTTACGATAACAGATGTATCATCAGCGTATTGACATAGCTTAACCGACCGGCCATTTGGTAAGATGTAACTATCGATGAAACGGTCCGCACGAATTGCACTAGTTATTGTTTCCGCCACCAATTCGTAGAGTAAAGGGGATAAGGGACAGCCTTGACGAACACCCCGAGAGACAGAGAAAAACTCAGTTGTTTCACCATTGATCAGGATACAGGAAAATATGTTTGAATATAATAAAAATACCCATTTCTGGAAGGATTGACCAAAATTTCTAGTCTGCAATACACGGGAAAAATACCCCCCATTCTACCCGATCAAACGCCTTCTCCTGGTCCAGCGAAATAATTGCAGCTGCTTTACGAGTCTGATTGGCATGAAAAACCACATCCTTCAGCAAACGAACACTTTCTAACGAATTCCGACCCGGCACCCCACAAGTTTGATCCGAATGAGATACCTTGGCAATAACACCCAGAAAACGATTGGCAATAGCTTTGGCAACAATTTTATAGTCAGCGCATAATAATGTAACGGGACGCCAATTCTTCATGTCACGACGATCCCCGCGCTTATGGATGAGCGTAACAACACCAGATCGCTGCGATGGAGACAATTGTCCATTATTATAAGCAAAATTAATGACATCGACAAAATCAGTTCCGAGAAGCGACCAAAAATGTTGATAGAACTCAGCTGGAAGTTCATCAAGGCCCGGGGATTTACCAGTAGCCATGGCATCCAGTGCTCTCTTTCATTTCGTCTCAGTTAGTTCCCCTTCACACAAACTTTGTTCAGCTCTGGACAGTTTCAATGATAAGAAATTCAAGAAGAAGTCTTGTTCAATTCAATCGAGGCTCTGCGACGTAAATAGTAAACCATACAAGGCCACCCACGCCCGAGCGATACCAACGAATGTAGAAACCACCGTGCCGCCCATGTTTTTAACTGAAGTAAAGATCCTGCGCTGACCACGTTTACATTCTAAACCGAAAAAAATATTTGGTAGAGGCTTCTCCCTCTTCTGCCCATTGAACGTTTGCGCGAATACGGTTTCCTCTCGCATCATCTCGATGAGTAGCCCCCAGTTCACTTTTAACATCTTCAATGATTGGAAGGACCTCGTCACCATTAAGCAGACGTCTGTTCAAATGAAATAAGGTATGCTCTAACGATGTAATGAGCTTTCGACAGCTGACAGCTTTCTTCTTAGAAAATTTACGGATATATTCTTTTAGTCACTCATTGCCTGCATCCCACCACGCAGTAAGCGACAAGAAAGAAGATTTATACACTCTCCAAGATGACCAAACGTCCGACACTAGTTTAACGAAGGACTCGTCTGAAAGGTGCCGAGTATTCAACTCCCAAACACCATGTCCACGATGGGTGGCGGATGGAAGACAAAGCTCCAAATATACGGTGGAATGGTCGGAGCGGAAAAAGAGAAGGATATCGACACGCATGACACAGGACAAGAGCAAGGCAGAAAGCCAAAACATGTGTATTCGCGAGGCTTGACGGCCGTTGGGGCGATGCCAAGAGTACTCCTGAGAATTTGGAGGAATTGTACGCCATGCATCGTGCAAATCATACGCCGAGGGTGATTGAGAGTTACAACCAAAACGGTCTTTGATCGGATCCACCACAGTATTGAAATCGCCACCCACCACCGTCGGGGTGCATGTCGGGATCAAGCACTTGATATAATGATTCAAAGAAAGTAGACGCAAGCTTTGCGGTATTTGGAGCATATATGTTCGCTAACTGGATCAAGTTACCATCCTTGGAAAACTCTGCGCACAAAAGCCAGCCATCTTGGTCACGAGAGCAACTGACAACATCATAACTAGGATTGTATAAAATGGCAACCCCACAACTAAGAATGTTTCCCGGAGAAGAAATGCATTTGTAACCAAACTTATTACAGCCGGACGAGGTGGCATGATCCAACCAAGATGAAAACTCTTCCTCTGAAATTGAGTGAGTCTCCTGTAGGCACACAAAATCAGTGTTAGCGCAATTTGCCCACCAAAAAACAACGTTGCTCTGTTATAAGCTGTGCGCAGATCCCGACAATTTAGTGTGATAAATGTTATCTTGCTCATACGGATTGTTGTAAAGGTCAAAACGAGGACACAAGGTGAAAACAATTCTGACATTAAAAAGAAGGATCGCCAATCCTTTTCGTTACCGGAACCGCAAAGGTTACGGGATCAATCGGAGATGGAGATTCCGAATCAAGATTTTCCTTCCTGGGAAGGTTTGGTGGAATTTGAGTTGAGGGAGTAGTCAGAGTATCATTTTCCAGAGCCGTGATAAATTCTGATCCATTTTCGGGTATGTTTGGGTATTGGTTATCGTTGGCCATAGACGGTTCCATATTATCATTACCGCCATCCTCCTCATCTCCGCCTTCATAAGCGTCGATGGAGGGCGTACCAAGGATCTCGGAAGCAGTAGACACAGAGTCATCCGCAGGAGGAGCGGAGGGAAGAGGTGAAGAATCATCCACTTTAGAAGGCCTTTGCGATTTGCGGTTACGAACCTTCCTCTGCACAGATCTACTTCTTTCAAATGGAATTGCAACACCATTTGCATCATGATCCACGGATATGGGATCAACTTCGTCACAAAGAGACGAAAAAGGATTGGGGGAGGAAAAACGAGCCAAAAGACTAAGAGGGAGAGGCAGAAAAGTAGGGACAAAATCATCCTCAACTACACTCCCATCCGAAGACGGATTTCGATCGACCCGCTTTTCCGAGATATCAGAAATATCCGAGTCATCAGGTTCCCTAGAGCGTTTCCCAAGAACTATACAAACTGGCTGTTGGGCCCCTTCACCTTCACCTTCAGGGAATGGCAGTTTCTCGAGGACATCAACAAACTCATCATCATCATCCGAGTTGTCAGAATCTTTACGAGATGATGGCTGAACCACGGGAAAAGAAACTGCTGCAGAGGACGGGGGTAACGTAGATGTGACCCCATCCGCATTGATGTTACGAACATTGTTATCACATCTAACAGCTGCATTAGGAACATCAGAGTGAGTGACTGAAGTGTTCAACTGCTGATTGCCAAGATTATTGTTTGTAGAATTAGCATTCAAGCACTGACTATGGCTATCGGCATTACTAGCTGTAATGGACGGATGAGGACCATCTTTTAATTGCGAAAACGCGTGTGGCTCTCATCTGTGGTATGCCTAACCGGATTACCGGGATCATGGGCACCAATGCGTTCGTCAGGTACTGTACTGGTCGACGGTCGATTTACTCTCGTCAATGGACCGTCTGCATTGATGATATTGCCTTTAGTACCCGCGTGATTAGGGCAATCTTTAGTCATATGACATGTCTGGTGGCACGAGAAGCACGTTTGAACCTGACCAACATAAACACAATTACAGGAATGAGCGCAATAGTCAACCGCGAAGGAATGGGTTTAGACAGTTCCATTAATACCTCACGGAACCCAACATAAACTCCATGAAAGGAGTCCATTTTAATCTGAATGACTTTGCCGTATGGCTTCAAAGTATCAGCAATCGCTTCATTGGGAATCCCATAACTCGGGCGCATAATGTTTCGTAATCGTATCATACTGATGTAGAATTGCTGTATAGACTCGCAAGGGATTTGGCACTCAAAACCAAGTATTATTCAACGCTTTTTTCCATTAGAAACCTTTCAGAAATGGCTTTTCTTTTAAAAAAAAAACGCCCGGTCAATTTCAATTTTTGTTTTGTTTTGATCAGGTTGCGTGGGATAGTTCACGTACTGGTCCCGCGAACAGCCCGCACCCAACTGTAGGGAGCTTCCTTAATGCATATTAGGATTGACAACAAAATATTCTTGTTTCTATCGATCCAATTACATTGCTAGAAATCGCGGACATTTGGAACGCAGCGTGCATTCTCGCCCCAGTCTACATGTTCACTCTGATATTAAATTTTATCAAATACATAAAATATCTTTTAAGGATCATACCAAATTAAAATTGAACAGTGTGGTAACAAAATGCCGTGAACTAATCAAGGAAATAAGAAAACTAAAACCAATAATAAAACATAATGATTATTTACGATACTAAAAATTGGGCAACAACGCAGTAAATGTACGGGCAGCATTTGTAACTAATTTACCGAAACAACAATAATCCACCTTTTACAAAGTCATACTACGGCTTAATAATCGATAAACTTAAAAATGTACGGTAAAATTGGAATGATATGAAGATATTAGTAGCCGAAATAATTGTTCGCATACCTTAATCTGTGGTGTCAATGATTATTTGTTTCATTCCAAGTTTGCATAAAATCGAAGGTTCGTTTATTAGACACAACCATCAGGTTCTAATATTTCGCAGTTTGGCGATGATTTTTTAGACAAAAATGGCCCAAAATTGATCATTCAAAACCTTTCTTCTTCTATTTTTTTGTTTGCTTACATTTTGTAATCCTTTTAGTATGTTTACATTTTGTAATCCTTTCGTAATCCTTTTAGTAATCGTTTAGTTCTTTTTCGAATAAGAAATTTCGGGGATCGAAAGGGGCAATAATGGGCATAGACGTAAGAGATGGGCATGGACGATTTTGGGATTCAAATGTCGGCGATTTCTAGCGACGACATTCAGACCGATCAAACTAGAGAGCTAAATAATTCTGTAAAGAAATCATGAATTTAGCCTCGATTTGAACAATAGCTTTCCACTTTCTTACCAAACGAGAAAATCATTGCACGCATTGCCACTTCTCTTGCACCAGCAACGCGATCAAATTTGACGCTTTAGTTTAGTTTAGTTTAATGAATTTGCCATGTATTACATATAATATCATTAATTATAAGTATATGACAGGAGTTTGAACAGGACTTGCGTCCCAATTGCAACAGAACCCCTTTACATAAAACTTCAAAAATATCGGAGAAACAACAATAAATTATAAAATCAAATAAATAAATAAGCGAGTAGGTAATCTATACTAAGGAGGACAATAGTCCAAACACTTAGATGAATAAAAGTTATAAATGGCAGTCTTGAATGTTCGAATGGATTCGCACTGTTTCACCTGAGATGGCAAAGTGTTCCAGAGTTCGGTTGTTCTTATGAAGTAAGATTTCCTGTAATAATCTTGCTTATGCTTTATAATTAGATTATAGTTATTTATGTCATAATTACGTGTTCGATACCCGGGCTCAAACACTGTCAAAAATTTATTAATGTCGGTGGTTACCAAGCCATTTCTCGATTTAAAGAAAAATGTTAAGTCTGAAATTTGTCTACGGTGTTCTAAAGGCAATAAGTTTAGTTTTATCAATCTATCAATATACTTCATATCTTCAGGATAGTTTAGAATAAACTTGGTAGCTTTTCTCTGGACATTTTCAATTAATTTCGCGTATTTCTTGATGTAAGGCGACCAAAGACTACTACCATATTCCAGCTTGGGTCGTACAAGAGCACAGTATATTATTTTTCTAGTTTGTATATCTTGCAAATCACGGAAAATCCTTTTCATTAGCCCAAGGGTCCTGTTAGCTTTAACAACAATTTTCTCAATATGATCTGCCCAGGATAAATTGTGACATATAGTAATCCCGAGGTCGACAAATGAAGGCACACACTCAATCGGTTGGTCACCAAGACTGTAATTTCTATTCATTTCCCGAGTTAACCTTTTCTTTGAAATATGTAATACTTTGCATTTCCGCGAATTGAAGTCTAATCCCGAACTGAGGCTCCATGTATGTAGACAGTCTAAATCGGCTTGAAGTAAGTTATGGTCATAATTTATGTCCATCGCCCGATACAATTTCGAGTCATCAGCGAAAAGTGCAATATTCGAGTTGTTAATAATGCAACTTGGTAGATCATTCACATAAACCAAAAACAACAAAGGTCCTAGAATGGAGCCCTGTGGCACGCCTGATGTTACTGGTAACCAATCAGAAGAAGCACCCTCCAGGACAACCCTCTGTTTTCGTTCAGAAAGATAACTCTTCATCCATAACAATAGTGGACCTGTGATACCATGCAACTGAAGTTTCAAGAGTAACAAATTATGAGGCACTTTGTCAAATGCTTTGGCTAGATCAAGATACAACACATCTACCTCCTTTCCATTTGCGACAGAGTTTACAATATCATCATAGACCTCGACAAGTTGTGTTACTGTTGATCGACCCTTCATGAAACCATGCTGTAAATGGTATATCTGAGGCTCCAGATGCTTACTACAATGATTAAATACACAGCGTTCGAGTACCTTGGAACTCTTTGCGTTGCCAGGCAAGAGAAGATTGCGCGCATATCCGTATATAGCTTCAAATATTGATAAGAACCCTCTAAGTTGCGTTTTTGGTGATTTGCTAATTCATCTAATTGTGATTTATTCAGAAATAAAATAATTGCAGCCGTAAATTCCCTCTAATGTGTTTTATTCATCCATAAAAGGGAGTAACAATGCTTCAAGAGCATATGGTCTATCATACACTCTATGGCTAATCAAGCGCGAAACAAACTGTCGACCATCAGGATCATCAAGGGTTAGCAAATTAACTGGATTTCCAGCCACAATATTTGTCATACGTTCATACTTAGTAGAACCAAAGGGATGTCCACCTGTGGTTAAAATGAAGAAAGCAATCATTCCTGCTGATTGAATATCAGATTTCCTTTTAAAACGTCCTTTTTCTACTTGACCTATGGTCTGAATAACTTCAACAGCCATCCAGCCTTCCGTTCCTTTCGCATCAGTACGAACTGTGGTTTCATCTTCGTTCAGAACACGACTTATTCCGAAATCTGCCAATTTCAAGTGACCGTCGACATCAACCAGGATATTTGATGGTTTGAGATCTCTATGTAAAATTCCTTGATCATGAAGAAATTTAAGTCCAGTTAACATTTCTCTGATCATTCTTCGACCGTGTATTCGTAGATGTTGAATATTTTGAGAATGCACATGTTCATCCAATGTTTCTTCACAAAGATCAACGATCAGATACATGAATCTATTGTCCTTCACAAAATTGCGATAACTCACTATAAATGGTGATTTCTTCGTCTCAATGAGACTTAATATTTTTTTCTCATTTTCAGCTGCATCTTCACACACTTGTATCACCATCCTCTTCACAGCCACTTCACTGCCATCTTCCAAAATGCCGGCATAAACACACGTGCCGAAAGATCCACTTCCAAGGAAAAAACGCTTGTCCTCGGCAAAATTCTTTAACGGTGGTCCAACCTACAGTAGAAGCAAGAAAAACTATTCATTGAGTTTCAGATAGAGATAGATGACACAGTTAAAGGGTCTTGTAGATGGAAATTATCGAGTGAAAATTTATACATTTATTAGACATAAAGGCTGATTTCCACTGTTGCGTTTTTCGTACGCACGTACACGCACGTAAAACATTGAATCCTTCTAATTTTTAAATATTTTACAAGTAAGTTAACAAATGCATACTAAAACTTGCGGAACACTAAATTCTGTTGCTTTATTTATTTGGTTATTTCATAAGCAACATTTAAACGGATTTAAAGTTTTACGTGCCTATACGTACGTATGAAAAACGCAACAGTGGAAATCAGCCTTAACCAGGAACAGATGCGAAAACTACAGGTTCCTGGCAGGAATCGAACCTGCGGTCCTGAAATTCAGGTGCAGCGCTCTAAAAAACTGAGCTACAGAGGCCAGTTGTCGAATGTGTCGACCACAAGTTCATCATATATGTATATATAAATCGGGAACTGCCATGTTTTAGGTTTTAGGTTAAACATCGAGATTTTGTTAAATCTCACTCGATTCATGCAGTAGTAGTTGAAGGGTCTTGTACAGGTAGATGGAAAATATCAAGTGGAAATTTTCATATATATTTTAGACCTAACCAGGAACAGCTGCAAAAATGCAACTATACCAGGATACTTGCAGGATACTTTCGCAACTGTTCCTGGTTCTGCTGTAGGTCTAAAAAATGTACATAAATTTTGACTCCACAATTTCCATCTATAAGACCCTTCAACTATTATACTGAATTGAGTGAGATGCCAACAAAATCTCGATAGATGGCACACTCAATTTTATATTATTGGGAAAGCGACGGGACACAACACTTTGGTTTTCCAGTTAGTAGTGAAATTCTACGTGGCAGGAACTGCAACCGCCAACCGCAGGATCTGCAACCGAACCGCTACAGTGTTGAGTTGCTTCCAGTAGACGATCAGCCAAACTCAAAAAGGTTACTGTCAATGGTACTTTTGGTTGCAAGCAATGTCATCGTGATGTGTTCACCTTGGAAGGGAGAGTTATTACCCGGAATGTTGATATAACGGAATTTATTCTATGTTTAGGATTTCTGTGAAATGCAGCCGGAATTCGATATTACGATTTATTATAATTTGCAGACTATTTATAGTTAACATGTGCAAATTTCTGGTTATCCGAACTCCCATAACTCAAAGTGTTATGCTAATGAGAAACATGGTATTATTAGTGCACTTGTTAAAACACCTGTAGCTTGATAGTGGAGATGGCCTTTAAAAGGACGATCTTTTTTATGTTACGCAACACTAAATAATGAATATACGTTTCCACTTGGTTATGACCACATTCAACATTTTTATTTTTCGATACGTTTCTCAAGCGGCAAACAAACTTAAAAAGTATGTTCATGCAGTGCTTGATCTGTAAAATTATGCTCAACTGAGCAGAATTTAGATGGTAAGCGAAAGAAAAAAATATGAGTGAAATTTAGTAAGTTTTACTTATAGCCTATTGTTGTATAAATGTGTGGTCAATTTTTCAGCATCAATGATAATTGTATTTAAATTGACAATATTTAACTATTGTATGTGTATTTTTCAACCGATTGATACATTTAAAAAGGTTGCCAACTGTATAAACTACAAAATAAAGCTGGACAAAGTAATTTTGAAAGGAACGCCCCAATGATTTTAAGTTTCGAACATTTTTCATTGCAAATACGCGACATTGAAAAAATTGCTCTTATAATAACGATATGGAAGATCTATTATATTTAACAATTATTCGCAGAAGGCGAAGTGATTGCCGATGAATATTCACCCAGACGAAGTCGAGGTGAATATTTACCGTAATCACTGAGCCTGAGGCGAATAGTTGTTTTAGTATAAATGTTTAATGAATAAAAATGAATATCCGAATATCAGTTCAATTAAATTTCAGAAATAAAACTGTTTTCGGTCTGTTCACTAATAGTGTTGCAGTGTTTCTTGTACCACACGCTTTCAAAATGGCTTCTTGTGTGAATTTATTGCTTCATTACAGAGTTGTTTTTCTCGATTTCTGCTAGGAATATAAATACAATAACGGAATAACAAGGGGGAATTTCGTTCTCGACCAATCAGCGCTTTTGTTTACATTTTTGCCCTAAGCCAATCAGAATGCGTAAAACGCTTCATCACATAAAATTTGTAAACAAACATATGGGGTTACTTCAGAGCTTTTCTGCAAGCGGTTTTTTTGTTTTTTGCCATGAAATTCATATATGTTGTTCTTAAAATAATTCTCCTCAACTTCCTCGTGGCGATTTTTGATTAATTGCGTGATTGCGAAGATATGGGTCTTCAAACTTTGCGTTGCGCAGGCTTAAATACCACCCCTCGAATTTGTAGGTTGCGAACGGATTAGTGTTTTTAAAAGCCTTTCAAATCGAGGTTTGAGAGGTTTTATTTTTTAAAAGATACTTTTATCTTCATATTTTCACATTAATTTATTAATATCCTGTGTAACAAGTAAACAGGGCATTTCCGGGCCGGGACAAGTTGACATGTCGATTTCTTGCCAAACAGCGTGGCGAACAATATGGCGAATATCTAAATACAGGGAATTTTTAAAATTTTGTTGGTATAAATGGGATAAAGAAGCTCATCAAATATTTGGACTATGGACCTTCAAACTTATGCCAAGTATTTATTTGATTGATTGGCTCAATAACTGTTTTTTGGCTCGTTTTTCGTCGATTTCGACATTTAGTCGAGCTTAGTCGACTTCAAAATAATGTGTCAACATTGCGTGTTGCAGCCTGTGGATATGAATATTTTCGTTTGTTTGACCATAACACTTTTCTTCACTGTTTTTAATCCTTGAATGACAATATATTCATTGGTCTCAGAGTCCTAAACTTAAGGAAGATGGGTGACTTTGGGACAAATATCAAAATTTTGTTCAGATATCAAAATTTATGGACATATATAGTCACAGAGCATAGTCATAGGACCTTCATTGTTTCTTCCTTAATCTGGCCCACTAGCAGTGGCGTAGCCAGCCCGACAATTTTGTCCCGCTATGCAAATTCAAAATTATTATCATTATTCATTTCTTTAGAAATTGATTGTTTTTACAGTCAATGAACACGAAAATATTTGCATAGCGGGACTAAATCGTCTGGCTGGCTACGCTACTGCCCACTAGTCACAAATGGGGCCTGTTCTTATGACCTGGCTAGGCAGGAGACAACATTTGCTAGTATTGCCGATATACTATCCTGACTAAGCACAAGGTATCCATTGCCAGAATCCCAACTATGCAAGCCAAGAAATTCACCATTTACAGTAAACATTCTATCCCACAACCAGGCAACATGAACTTGCCTTTAGGGTCCCATGCTGCCTAGCCCAGATCATATCAACAGACCCTTAGCAGATCCTGAAACTACAATTGGAACATTTTAGGCCATAATCTTGTAGAATCAACCAGGTATTGTCAGTAGTATATCACACTGGGCATACAAGCTGGTCTTGCCCATTTATATGGGCTAAATATACACCTGCCCATGGTAAGATACTGCCTCATATATAAATTAATGTTTGAGATTGCATTCACATGAAACAGCCTGGTTGAATTTATTGGCCCAGCATTTGCTTGAGCAAGTTGATATCCTACATTGGGAGTCTCACACTAATAAAGGTCATAAGCTGGCCAACCAGCTCACTCGACTAAAAATCATGTTAAAATACACAATTTGGCCCAAGTAAGTAAGAAATTGATTAATATAAGCCTTCTGAAGCTGTTGTCATTAACAAATTAACCAGCATTTCACACAAATTTCTTGACAACAGTTGCCAGGTTAGCCTGGCTCCTGTGAGGCAAATGACAAACTAGCCCTGAAAAGAAAATCCAGCCATGTTTGCTGGGCTAGCATGGCCCATTTTGACAGCCCTTAACAGGGAGAGCTTATTTTTGGAAGGGAGATCTGATTTTTGGAAGGGAGGCCTATTTGTGAGGTTACTGGGGGCTTAATATGGGATTGCATTATATAATATGTGTAAAATATTCATTTGTGCACAGGTATTCTGGTAATGCACAAATTTATGGACTAAAATGTTTCAATTATAGTAGATCGGGATCTATTGGGGACCTGTTTATATGATCTAGACTATCCAGAACACATGCTTGAAGCCTAATTCATGTTGCCTGTTTGGTATACAGTGCTTATTGATCCTTATTGTATATGGTGAATTTCTTGGCTTACATATAGCCAGGATTCTGGCAATGGAAACCTCACGCTTAGCTAGGCCGATAGTAGCAGGATAGGATAGAACATACTGGCAAATGTCGTCTCCCACCTAGCCAGGTAATATGGACAGGGCCCAATTGTGACAAGTGAGCCAGATGAAGTAAAAAAACAATGAAGTTCATATACAGGTATATGTCCATAAATTTTGATACCTGAACAGCAACATTGAACAAAATCATTCTGTCCCAATGTCATCCATCTTCCTTAAGTTTAGGACTCTGAGACCAATGAATATAACCAATGAAGACAGGTGTTATTGTCAAACAAACGAAAATATTCATGTCCAGAGGGTGCAACACGCAATGTTGACACATTATTTTGAAGTCGACGAAGCTCGACTAAATGTCGAAATCGACGAAAAACGGGCCAAAAAACAGTTATTGAGCTAATCAATCAAATAAATACTTGGCAAAGTTTGAAGGTCCATAGTCCAAATATTTGATGAGCTTCTTTATCCCATTTATACCAACAAAATTTTAAAAATTCCCTGTATTTAAATATTCGCCATATTGATCGCCACGCTGTTTGGCAAGAAATCGACATGTCAACTTGTCCCGGCCCGGAAATGTCCTGTTTACTTGTTACACAGGATATTAATAAGTTAATGTGAAAATATGAAGATAAAAGTATCTTTTAAAAAATAAAACGTCTCAAACCTCGATTTGAAAGGCTTTTAAAAACGCTAATCCGTTCGGAACCTACAAATTCGAGGGGTGGTATTTAAGCTTGCGCAAGGCAAAGTTTGAAGACCCATATCTTCGCAATCACGCAATTAATCAAAAATCGCCACGAGGAAGTTGAGGAGAATCCTTTTAAGAACAACATATATGAATTTCATGGCAAAAAACAAAAAAACCGCTTGCAGAAAAGCTCTGAAGTAACCCCATATGTTTGTTTACAAATTTCATGTGATGAAGCGTTTTACGCATTCTGATTGGCTTAGGGCAAAAATGTAAACAAAAGCGCTGATTGGTCGAGAACGAAATTCCCCCTTGTTTAACGGATGACTCTTTCACCTTTAAAAATAGTTTCTGTTTAGCATTAATGTCTTGAGGAAAAGGCTGAGGCATTTGGTAAAATGAAATGTACAACTATGTCGTTCGAAATAAAGTTTTAATAACTCTTTTTACTTTACAAGTTTCGAAAACACAATACAGCGGTCAGAACACCATACAGCACAATGAAAACATGACATATCAAAGAAATAGTATCGTACAAATTGGGAAACATATAGCACACAAAATAAAATGGATTTTAAAGAATATCACGGCAAGGTTTTTCCCAACAGACCGGATGGTTTTTGCTATTTGTTTGAAGTGAATGTTTCGGTGTTTTAAATAAGCTTTAATTAAATTGTCCGTGAATATGTTTGACACACTAAAATAATCAAATAATCCTACCTTTCAAGTTAAATACAACATTTTGTGCTTCTTTCGTTTTCTGCATGGGGACGATTTTTTAAAATATTTTGTCGATTTTGAAACCAAATTTGCCGAATCATTCTTTTTGAAAAGCATTATTTACTACCCAGGTGGTAAATAATGCCTCAGATTTACTGGTCAACTAGCCAATCAGAACGCGCGAAAGCTCATTTGATATGCAAAATTTATACTTATATATTGTATTTTAATTAAGTTCGCCTAATAATTAGAACAAATTAATTAATTACTTTGTATCCACTAAAATTGATTATAGACATATAATTTTGGTTTTCTTTTCGATTCGATTATTTTACCTTTGTCAAATGTTCCTCCTCCAACGCTTCCAAAATCTGAATTTTCTTCCGATGTTTGAAGGACTTTCTTAATTCCAGCTAGAAGTAAAATAATCTCAATAAGGATTCGGATTAACATTAAGTTGACTTAACATAACCTTCTTAAATTAATTTACACAATTACTTTTCACAATTTTTCTGCGTTTCTCGAGGCAGTGCTTGTGAAACAACAGTTTTCGACAATAATTTAGGTGATTATATACCGGGTGGCGCAAAAAAATGTTCACGTGTTTGATTTAGTACAGCGAAAAAACTATAAGGGTTACATCGCTGAAATAAACGTAGCTGTATTCATAAAAGTCTAACTTAAATTTTGAGCTATATAGCATGTTTATTTACGTGCAATATTGACTGGGATATCGCCAAATAAAATTTGGAACGAAGTTTTGAAAATCTGACAAATTGGCTAAAAATGGCCTATTAAACTGTTTTGATAAATTTTAGAATTTCGTCAGACATATTCGCTTGTATGAATTTAATTTGAATTGAAACGTGTAACGAATGATTTTCCTCATTTATTTATTTGTTTTATTATCATTTGAAAAGCAACAAAATTTCGAAAAAGATGGCTCTTTTAATTAAGAATTGCTTCGCAGTATTCCATGTCCCATAGCTACAGGGAATTAAATTAGATCAACAACCGAACAATTTGAGCAACAACCGAACAATTTGAGACAGCTTCGTGAAGCGATTATTGCTGATTGCCATAACTTTGACCAGCAAATAAATCCAACGTTAATTCGTTCGATAGTATGGTCACACGTGCAAGAATATAGTTATTTAATTTTCCATGATAAACGCGTTATTTACTGCCGTTGTGTTCTTCATATATCGTTAATTCCTTTACTCGTATTTAATAGGCTATTTTCAGCTAATTTTGGAACCTTTTGAAATTGCATATTCAAATTGATTTACCAATATCTTGGGTAATACTAAACAAAAATGCATGTGTTATACATCAAAATTTAAGTTAGGCCTTCCTGGATAGGATAACATTTATTTGAGGAACGTAACACTTATAGTTTTTTCGCTGTACTAAATCAAACGCGTGAACTTTTTTTTGCGCCACCCGGTATATTCATCGACAACGAACTATGCATGCAGGTACATTTTTCAAAAACATGAAACACTTCTTTAATTTGAAGAAAAACTATAACCGACGGAGACTAAACTATCATTTTGTAATTATCTGAGATATTAGCCAATTAAATATTAAGTAATTTGTAATTTTTATTTTGTAATTTTCTAAGTTTTTCACAGAACTTGATCTTTTAACACCTTCACTTACACTGCGAATTAGACGGCAAGGCAATGAATGGAGACTGTGCGAACGAACATTTCGCTTTGAATATGAAATGGCGTATTTTAACACTTGCTTGTATCCATCGCTCACTCAGTCTTCTGACGAAAAAGAAACAGGCAACTTTATATAAAACTAATACATGAATGTGGGATTTCATGATGTTCTGTGCAATAATGCCGAAGAAAATGCGATGAAAAGGAGGCGAGATGCGAACATGCTTCGCTGAGAATGTCTTGCAAAAAAGTAGGCTTAGGAACAAAAATAGGTGAATTATAGTGTTGTAGCTAACTAACGATCGGATGAATTTTTTTGAAAGTTAAATATTACTGGCAGGTGCATGTTTTTACCGGATTTCTAATTTATTTAGATCCTATATGAACTAATAGTGTCATTTCGTTGTGAAATTGACAACTTGTGTCATGTTTTTGTTCGAATGATTCAGTCAGAGAACTCGCATCTCTTTGAACATTAAGTCTGATTGAATTGCCTCTAGCTATTGCAAGAACATTTAATAGTGAATGTGTTCGCTTGATTTTAGTTCTGAATTGTCATAGTTGAAAATGTTTTTTAAAGTAGTTGGGTTCTGAGGTGTTTGTTTATGCAATGCAGACTTTTGTATTTTCGTCCTCTTTTGGTATAAGTATGCACTTGGCAGTCATATACAGCAGTATATCGTAATAAAATCTTATAAATTTTAAAATATTTTTTGGGTTCTTAACAGGTACTCATCCACAACGGATGTTTTTATGCTTTATTTAAAATATATAAATTTTAAGATACAAGTACAGTGATATGAGGTTGTTATAACCAGCATATATCAGTCATTTTGAATTATTAGTAAACGCAGCCTCATGTTTTCGGCAATAACACACTGTTACTGACGTTTGCATGTTCTCCTACGTCCTGCCTAATTCTCAAAAACAATCCCTATATGAGTGTGTGCACCCCCAAAATTTATGCAAAAGTTGGTCCCGAAAGGTTTATGTTGGTCTTGTTGTGATCCGAAACAAATTATCATTTTATGCATGCAATATGTAAAAAAAAAATAAACGATTGGGTGCAGATTGTTGATAGACATCGCGAAACCGGCAGAATGACTCAGTTTAATAAGCTTGGCTTTTGCCAGATTTTCAATGAAAACATAGGTGAAATTTTTATTTTCAATGTGCAGTTCCCTTAAACCCGCGTTGTTGTATGGTTCAACAGCCACTCCAGTATAGAGACCTGCTATCGTCTTACATCTCTAGAGGCCATTCGCAAACATTACAAGAAAGTCGGTCCCATAACAAAGGACACACACCTTTGTGTGTTCAATAACAAGAAAACACACCTTGTGTGCTATTTTAGGACACCTTGTGTGTTAAATAACACACCAAGGTGTGTTGTTTAGCACACCTATTTTTAAGAGTGCACTCTCCCCCAAAAAGTACTCTGGATGTGTGCCCCTGACCGCAGTATAGTCTTATAGAATATTCACTTTGTGAATACACGGCCAGGTAATACAGGACCTCTCCAAATCTCAGCATGTTAACATAAGATTCCTAGAAGCAATAATTCCTTTTAAATAGAAAGAAAAATCTTGATCAAACTGCAGGTACTCAATGTCTCAAGACTATTGTGACGACATACCCAATGCACATGAACGTTATTCATGTATAATACATAACGTTTTTCATGTGTTATTAGGGAGTTTACGCATGTAAGACGACGCGGCGTCAGGAGGACGGCTAAAGAAACTTTTTAAAGTAAATGATTGTATGGAAATAGTGTCTTATATTTACTTTCGTATGAATGTAATACAGGTTAGAACTAGTGAAACAGAGTTTTAACCTTCAGAGCAATTTTGATCAACTCTAATAGAAAAAGCCTAGCGTAGTTTTCAAGACGTGAAAATATACATTTTGCCGTCGTCAACAGAGCCTGGACGACGTCTGAAACTCCTGCAATACTTTTAATTATTCATTTCTTTTGTGCTATAGGATTAATGATATTGTATTCATAGCCGTCGTTCTGATGTTGCCGTCTTACATGCACGGACAGACAAAGCAAATCTGATGTTTTTGTTTGTGAACGTTTTTCATGTATATATATATATATATATATATATATATATATATATATATATATATATATATATATATATATATATATATATATATATATATATATATAAATATATATATATATATATAACGAACTGTTAACAGAACCCAAAGAAAACTCCTATCATTAAGAAACCCACGATATTTTCCATATGACTAAAACGAAAACGGACAAATATATAATATATAATATATTTGTATAATATATAGAAGGTCTAGAAGAATCCTACAATCAACTGAAGCTATCTAATGAGACACTTCACCTGGAAATTGACAACCTTGAGCAATATGGACGGCGAAATTGTCTCCTTTTTCACGGTGTAAAAGAGCAAGAGGGTGCGGCTACTCGAAGCCAAGCTGAAAATACAGACGCTATTGTTGTGGGCATTATGAAAGAAAAACTCGGTTTAGAAATTAGTGAGGCAGACCTCGATAGATCTCACCGCCTTGGGAGGAAAGTGCCTAATGTTCAATCACGTCCAAGGCCACGTCCAATGATCGTAAAGTTTCTGTCACACAATATTCGATCTCAAGTATACCGCAACAAACAAAAATTAAAGGGTTTGGGTCTTGGTATATCCGAAAGCTTGACGAAGAAACGCGCAGAGCTTTACTCCACTGTTTCCAGACATCCAAATGTTATTTCAGTTTGGACCAATGACGGTAGGATTATTGCCCTTCTCTCTGATAAAAGAAAAGTTGTATTAGAAAGCAATAGTGAACTTTCTAGGTTGTCCTAAATTCTTAATTAATTAATTGCGTAATTCGGAACTCATGATTTTTTCGTATAAGCCGTATATATTTTCATTTTATGTTTGGCTTATGCAGGTGTATAGATGACTTAGTATATTTTTTCTCTCATTTTTGATTTTTTATTTAAAATTATTATTATTACTTTATTATTGTGTGTTTACATATGAATAACTGTGTATGTTTTAAATGCAACAAGCTCATTAATGCTAATCACCACGCGACACAATGCAACCATTGTCTAGCATGGTTCCATATGAATTGTTCTGGCCTGAATTTTAAATCAGCGAAGACAGCCGTTAAAATGGACTGGTTTTGTGCACCGTGTCTCTCCTCTATTTTCCCATTCAACCACTTTGATAATGACGAAGAATTCTTGTTGGCTCTCCGCGAATCGAATAGTGAATTTACGTTTAATATTGATCCCTTTAAAGACTTAATATTTAATCCAATCTCCGAAACTTTAACAAATATCAATAACTTGGACTCTGATGAGCACTTCTTTAACTCGTGTATTTCAAACAACAATAATTACCTTCTTGAGGATACCTTTGTTTCTGAACACTCTAACAAATTCGATCAATTCTCACTTATTCATTTCAATGCTCGTAGCCTTCCGCATAATTTTGATAAATTTACAAATTACCTTAATCTGTTACAGTTTCCTTTTTCGATAATTGGTGTCTCTGAGACTTGGCTGACATCTACTAACATAGCTCAGTGTGAGCTTGATAATTATAAATTAATAACATGTAACCGTATTAACAGACAGGGCGGAGGCGTTGCTCTTTATATTAGGGACAACATTGATTTCGTTGAATTAACTGACCTTGGTATTAATGACGATAACATATGCCAGTCATTATTTATTGAATTTTTAATAAACAACCATAAGGTTGTAACTGGTATAATCTATAGGCCTCCTAATGCAGACGTAAGTTTGTTTAACGATTATCTTGACAAAACCCTTAATTACCTTAATAAGTCGAATAAATTAAACTATCTTACTGGTGATTTTAACATTAATCTTTTAAATATTGAAGAAAACTCGATAACCAGCGAGTTTTTCGAAATTATGACTTCGTATTCTTATTGTCCAACTATCTTTCGGCCCACCAGGATTACCAGTTATACAGCAACACTTATAGACAACTGCTTTACAAACAATTATGAACATTCTGCCGATTCTGGCATTTTAATTACTGATATTTCTGACCACTTACCTATATTTCATATTTCAGACCTAAAAGTAAGAAGTCGTGTATCCCCAAACAAATATTCCACTTCTAGGCTGATAGACAAAGAAAACATTGATAAGTTTAAAGTTAACTTGGTTTCCCTCAATTGGCAAGCAGTTTATGAATCCACTGATTCGAATATTGCCTATAATATTTTTCTTAATAAGTTTAATGACCTTTACGACAAATCTTTTCCACTCAAAAAAAGAAAAATAAGGAAAACGCGGGCTCGTAAACCTTGGATATCAAAAGGATTGATTAAATCAATTACAGTTAAAAACAAATTGTACAAAAAGTTCTTAAAAGAAAGGAATTCACCAACGGAACAAAAATTTAAATCATATAGGAACAAATTGAATCATCTTCTCAAAATCGCAAAAAAGCGTTACTTTGCAATGAAACTTGAATCTGCTAAATCTGATCTGAAGCATACTTGGAGAATCCTTAATGACCTTATTCGAAAACCAAAATCTAAAACTATTTACCCTGAATCATTTCATTTCAATGATACTGAGACTGCTGACCCTCAGATAATCTCCAACACTTTCAACAAATACTTCGCCAACATTGGCGCTAATCTAGCAAAAGTAATTCCTAATACTTCTGTTAATTTTACTCACTACCTTAAAGGATCTTACATGCACTCGTTTGTACTGTATGAAACTAATGAAGATGAAATAACTAAACTTATCTCAGAACTTAACCCTAATAAATCCTGTGGGATTGATTTGATTGACCCATTTATTGTTAAACAACTTGCTGGACCATTAGCTCCTATTTTGTCAAATATTTTCAATAAATCCATGAATACTGGCAGAGTGCCTGACAAATTAAAAGAGGCTATGATAACCCCTGTTTACAAATCTGATGACCGTAAATCTTTTGGTAACTATAGACCAATTTCCATTCTTCCAATATTTTCAAAAATATTGGAAAGAATTATTTACAACAGATTATTAACATATTTGGATAAAATGCATATCCTGTCCAGCAATCAGTATGGTTTCAGAAAGAATTACTCAACTTATATGGCTTTAATTGAATTAATCGACAGTCTCTCTCATTCGATTGATAACAATGAATATACTGTAGGCATATTTGTTGATTTATCAAAAGCGTTTGATACTGTGAACCACAAAATTCTTATAAGTAAACTAAACCATTACGGTATCAGAGGTACTCCACTCATGTGGTTTAAAGATTATTTAAGTGATAGGAAACAAACTGTGAAATTTAGTGAGACGGTCTCCTCAAAAATGATTGTAACGTGTGGTGTTCCCCAAGGTTCTATCCTTGGACCACTTTTATTTCTTCTTTACATTAACGATATTGCCAATTGCTCTAATCTTCTCAATTTTATTCTGTTTGCTGATGATACTAGTATATATCATTCCGACAGAGATCCTGCCACACTCATCCGTAAAGTTAATTGTGAACTTGATAAACTGTCGGACTGGTTTAAAGCAAATAAACTTTCACTTAATTTAAAGAAAACGAATTATATAATTTTTCGCGCAAGAAATAAACCCATTCCAAGTCGAGATAATTTAAATGTGTTTATTGACTCTATAAAAATTAAAAGGTTAGCTACCACTAAATTTCTTGGAACTTATATAAACGAACATTTAGACTGGAAACCACATATTTCACACGTTGCCCTAAAGATGGCAAAATCTATTGGCATCATAAACAAAGCAAAGCATTTTATTACTAGCCCCACCAGAAGAACTTTATATTGCTCCTTGGTGTTACCGTATATTCAATACTGTAATATAGTTTGGGCTAAAACATATCCTACTAATCTTGATAAAATCATGAAATTGCAAAAACGTGTAGTGCGCATTATTGCTAATGCTGGATATCGAGATCCTACTGAACCACTTTTTTCAAAATTCAAGTTACTTGATGTTTATGCCATTAATAAATTTCAGACTGGTTCTTTTATGTATAGATGCTTTGACAAGTCCTCAATTTTCCCGCAACATTTTAGGAATTATTTCATCCTTAACAAGGACATTCACTCTTACGAGACGCGGAATGCCAACAGAGTTCATATCAACCAAGTCAGAACAACAACAAGAAAACAAACTCTTAAACACAGTGGATCATTGTTTTGGAACTCACTAGATAAATATATAACCGAAGCTGCTACGTTATTTATTTTTCAGGCTAGACTAAGGTCCCATATTCATAAATATTGAGTATAATATAGTTTATGATTTATTTCTATATACCCATATTTCTTTTTCACTCAATCATTTGAATACATAGATTCTTAAAAATCTCCTTCCCAGTTCCGTTGGTTGATCAGTGCTTGTTCAAGTTCTCTCGAGCTTTCTCACTGCTCAACCTTCTGCACAACAATATATTTTTTTTTTATATAAAACTCAACAAATAATGGATTGTAATATGGGACCAATATTATTATAGTATATGAGTAAATATAAGGGAATCTTGTAATGTAATGTTGTGTGGTAAAAATAAATTGATTGATTGATTACTTGTAAACAGCAAGTTGATTATGATTAAACACTTAATTAGTTAATAAATATTCATTTTATAAGTGCTATATACCTACATGACACGCATTTAACATTGGGTTCTGCCAACGCGAAAATTAAATTTTCCAAATCTACCCATTACCAGAAATATGGGACATTTTGCTCCCGCTTTTGTAGTAAGCGGCTAAGTCCGTTTTATATGCCCAACATTGCCTAATATAAGTAATTCGACTTCGCATTTTACTTTGAATCTCCAATTCAAGTATTATTCAACCAAAAACTGTGATTTTAAACCATATTTTGCAGTTTTTGCTGATAATTTCCGGTATTTTGACCTTTAACCCCGCAAATTTTTATCAAGACGAAAAATATTGCAAATATCCTAAAAAATCCTAAAATATCCCTGTGTTTTTACGTGAGAGCCTGGGATCTAGTCCTTCAAAATAAACAAGAAGCATGGCTGCTCGAAACAGCTCAAATTTGTATTAAAACTTGTCGTTTTTGGATATTAAGATGGCTTAATGGCGACATACAAGAACCGTAAAAAGGCGAACTTTTAAACGTTTCGGGAACCAGTTTCCCTGGAAATTACAGCGGATTTATTTAGCTAAATTAACAGTTTGGACATCATTAAATATATCGCGAGCTCCGCACTTTGCATCGTCCGAATGGATGTTGGTCTATTCGTCGGATATTTACCTCTTGTGTCACAAGTTTACTATAAATTACACTATGAAATTCATCGAATTGCGTGTAAAAATACAACATTCTCAGGAACCTGCTAGACGCGGTGCAATACTAGCGATTTTTGTTTAGAAATATTGCTTGTTCGTGTCGCTACTATAATCGAGCTCCGCAACCATGAAATATTTAAACAAAGTATATTAAAATTTGATATTTTGATCAACTCCCATATAGTTTATAGTAATATTTGGTCGCCATATTTGGTCAAAGTGCGCATGTCCGTCGCCATCTTGTCCCATATTTCTGGTAATGCTCTGTTCATACTTGATCTATCGTAAATCTCGTCCACGCCGACGCCATACACAGCACAACGATATCTCAAATTTCAAACTGATATACATGCAATAATATATTCAATAATCGTCATATCCAATTGCAATTCCTTAACACTGAAACCTTTCGTATATACACCGGGCGCGTAGTTCCAAGGCCCGCCGGCTGCCGGCGAATATATAAACAATGGAATTGGGAACAGGCAAAAAACAAACCCCCTCCCCTTTTCTCATATAAAAATTGTCCAAATCTTGGTTTACATTGCTATCTTGTATATACACATGCGAAATACTTTGGAATATGAAAGGGGTGGTGCATTTGCTATCGATTTTCAAGATGCACGTGGTCAATGGGGTAATTGCACCGAGTTGTTGCATATGAGATAGATATTGCCTAATTAGAGTGAGTGCATTTTGTTATCATGTCGTGTGTTGGACACAGCCACATACCGGGAATGTAGCACTGACACAATGATACAACCTTCCAGCATCACCAATGTTTACACAAATTGTGGCAAAAAGGAACGAGTGCGTTTCCTACCTAGCCAGATGTTTACGCTGTATTTGAACATGAAACAATTGCACAAAAAAACAACTTTCTGATTCACCATTTCTAGCCGGGAAATTTCGAATTTCCTACAAGAAGAAACATCATGGTAAAATCTGAAATAGATCTCTCCCAAGTTTCAACTGTTTAGAAATTATACTACGACTAATTCTAGGTCGAAATCACACAGCCAATATTTTTGGCGGGAGCTAGAGTTAGGCATGTATTCAGTCAAAATGCCTATTGTAACTAGATTTTTTGAAAAATGTTCACAAGGTCCTACTCACATTAATAAGCCTAAGTTCGTTCCCAGCTATGACCTCTGCTGTTTTCATGATTAATCCTTCGGTTCTATGAGGAATTACAGCAGATCGACTATCATACACACAAATTATTTGCATTCATGCCATTTCAATATCTCCCGCTCAAAGACGTTAGATCAAAACACACCATATTGCGACTGCCATACGTCATAGCATCAACACCTTTATATATTTGATACTGTACTTCATGTACGACAATAGTAAATAACACACTAATCATATTATACAAATGAGTGTCAACATACGGTCTCAAATGTTTACAAATCAGATTACAGGAATAAATTTAAAGTTTGTACTTCGCTGAAGACGCAACATAGCAATGGTATAGGATCCAAAAAACAAAATCTCTATATGTATAATATAGAAATTTCACTCATATTAATCTCAGAATGCTAGAACAGAATCCGTACAAGCAAAAAATGTTATATAAATAAAAAAAGAAATTTTGATCAAACTAAAGGTATTCAAAGCCGTCTACGTGTTACTTAAACTGATTAGCACACCCCATTTATTATTGTACGTCCAAGCCAAGGGTCTAATCAGTGTCGCACCAAGTGCAAGCTGTCTCTTTTTGTCAATGATCGTTGACAACAGCTACACATTCGAGATAAACTTTAAATATTTTTGCATATAACTTAAAATATGTTAGGTAAACTAAATTTCATGTTGTGATGAGCAATTAAATAATATTATTAACGAAGGAACTAGACTCAGTTCCGAAATATTACATACTTGAACCGACATGACCGCGTTGCTCAGTTGGAAGAGCATTGGGCTAGTATTCAAAAGGTCGTAGGTTCGATTCCTACCGTGGCCAGGCATATTTTTCAGGCCTGCCCGGTGTGAATATACACAAAGCGTAACATCACAAGCACCATCCCCGAGCCGGCGGCGCGAAGCGCCGTGCGAGGGTACTAATTCCCCCCGGCTATTTACACCCGGGGAAACGAAAGCATTAGCGGAGTCTAAAGTTCATCAAATATCGCGGGCGTGGGTGACCAACGGTGTTGAGTGGGTGGTCATCCTCACTGATCTCAAAAATATGGCGGACTGTCATGGATAGCGAACACTGATTGGTCAAATTTAAAATTTGTTGTTGTATGACAAATGACGACTTCAACTGACAGATACTCCATGAAAATAATTTACTTTTTACACTACAGTATTTTGTACGTTTGCAAAAAACTTTGACAGCTTTCAAAGCAATTTGTTCTATAAAAAAGTTTAATAAAACAATTACGGTATCAAATACCAATTGAAAAGATATGGAGCCAAATGAAGAGCGGCAAGGAAACGACAAGAAAGCCGAACGTCTAGCGAAAAGGAGGGAGCGAAGACGACAACGTTTGCTCGAGGAGACTGCTGAGGAAAGAGAAGCTCGCCTGGGAAAGAGTAGAGAAGCATGGAAAAGACTGCTGAGTGAAGCGAAAGGTAAGAAAAGGCTTGTCTTCACAACGCTATGTAGTAATCTACTAATGTTACTGTAGCTATACGAGTTGAAGTATGATATTCGACCCTCTATATTCGACTGTTTCTTCACAATTTTCCAATAAAGAGTTTGTCAAGACACACTCAAGTCAGTATAACCAGACTGTATTTTATTTATATCAGTTATCACAGCCACAGGCAATTTTATGCTGTCAAATACCGTCGGTGGCAACTAAGGGTGAACAGTTGCAGATAAAACATTCTCTATTCTCATTAAAAAGCCTGTAAAAGTTTCCAGTAGGTCTCTAGCCCAACACGTTCAGACCACACAGTCAAAGTTTTGTTACTTATTATTGTACACATGGGAAACAACAATTAAGTGTTGTTGTTCTTGACAAACATTGAAGATTCTAATCACGCGAATGTTTTTATGAGCGACTGTTCATCGTTACTTGCAAGCGACGGTACAACATACTATGAACATTTTTCCGACTGTGACCGAATGTGCAACGATATATTTTTCAAAGTTGTTATCAATTCCTAAAATTTGTTTATAGTAAAACGGCCTGCTGAGCACTCACTACTCACGATGATTTCATTTAGAAATGCAGTTACCAGGAAAGGAACTGATTCTAAAATATGTAAATTTAAAAGCATTGGCTAACAGAATAAAGCGATGTGAAGACAAGGTACAAACTTTTATAGCAACTATAAAAGTTTGTACCTTGTCTTCACATCGCTTTATTCTGTTAGCCAATGCTTTTAAATTTACATATTTTAGAATCAGTTCCTTTCCTGGTAACTGCATTTCTAAATGAAATCAGCGTGAGTAGTGAGTGCTGAGCAGGCCGTTTTACTATAAACAAATTTTAGGAATTGATAACAACTTTGAAAAATATATCGT